TTATTTGATCATTATACATTTTATTGGGTGTAAGAGGTACAAAAGTGATGGTTTTACTGTCCTTTATTATAGTATACTTATTTCTAACCCTATCATGTGTTGTCTTCGTATTGAATTACCATGGTTTCTTCAACAAAATATGACTCACATGTATTTGAGCCACATCATATAGAACCTTATTAGCTTATTGTCTAATAAAAAATAGAACGAAAACTTATTTAGTTATTTTCACCTACCACAATCATTTAACCATTGCAATCTATAAGATCTATAATGTTTAATAGTATATAAGTTAAATTTACTAGCAAGGATAGTACTAGTTATGCTAGTATAACTTCTACCATTTATAATCAACCTACACATCTTATTTTGTACATGACAACACATATGGAAGATGTTCTTCCATTATTGATCAATATCATCTTTCTTAACTTAAATCTTAAGCATATGCCTTATAATCAAAGCTTTACCTTTAATTAGGTATGCAATCTTCTCATTAATACAATCTTGCAATAGTAGCATATTTTCATAATCAGATTATCACTTTCATACTTCATATCTCTATTATCTATAATAATCATTATTCTCTTGTTTGGACACTTTAAAGCTTAGTGCTTAAACCCTTGACACCTAAAATATTTAACATTATGAGTATATTGAGGTCAAGTATTATGTTTACCTTTAGAACTCGTAAAGACATCAACCTTGGCTTTGAGAGATTTGACTTTAGTGCTAATGAATGGTTTTGATTTGACAACCCTTTTTCTCTTGAAATTTAGCTTCCATGATAAAGAAGAACCTGAATTATAAGTTGTCTATACATTCCCCTTCCTTTTAAGTTGCATCTATACTCTATAGCCATATGAACCATGTCCTCAAGCTCCACGTGACATTATAGCTTAATAAAACAAGTTATCTCTCTATTCATATCATTAAGAAACCTAGTCATAGTTGTTTCTGTATCTTCAATCATGTCAACCTTAATAATTATAATTTTCATCTTCTTATGGTAATTGTCCAAACTTTTTAACCCTTGATGTAAACTTTATTATTTTTCAAAGAGCTCTTCATAATAAAAGTTAGGAAAAAATTATTTTCTTATTATAGCTTTCATATCATCCCATTAATCAATAAGCTTTTCTCCATTATTTTTTTTTTACTCAAAACAAGTTGATCCCACCATATTAATGTATAATTTATAAACTCAATAACAATGGGTTTTAGCTTTTTTTGTTCTATGTAGTGATGGTAGTCAAAGATTCATTCAACTTTCTTTATCCACTCTAGCTATCTCTCTGTATTATTATTTCCTTAGAAAACATGCATTTTTAACTTAATAGTTCCTAACTCTCCACCCGAATCATCATGATGCTTAAAATACCAAGAATTCTCCCTCTAGCAGAATGCTCCACCATTGTCAAGACTAATATGCGTTCTAGCCTTATTCAAACCAATATTATTCTCTTAGCCCATAAATTCAAATTCATAATCATCATCATTTACATCTACATTTTCATCAACAAAGTTAGTTTTAATATTCTGAATGACCTTTCAAATAATGTTTCCTCTCTAATCAAATCCTATCCTCAAGCCATCCATCCCTCTATTTTTTATCTCATCAAAGTCATCTTATCTTTTAGATCCTTCATCACCTTAGCCAACAACTCCAGTTGCTAGGCAAAAACTTACATATGAAATGTATCATCTGCTTTAGGTATCATAGACTTGTTATTTTTAGACATCTTTGAATCTGTAAAAAAATATTACTAATAATAAGATATATCCTCACAACTCCCGTGTTTCACACAATTTAAGGCTTTTCACCCAATTGTTCTCAATAAGCATCTTACCTCTCAGCTCACCTTCTTGCAATTCTTTCAAAACTACAAATCATCGAAACAAAGTCAATGGATATCATAATGCTAACCAATTATATATAAAGTGGCTCAAGAATCAATAAGATATTGGAAACAAGCAAACTGTAACTACAATTATGATTTTGTGAGTAGCAAATAAATTCGTACAAAATATGAATGATATGAAGACTCTCATTAAAAAAAAAAGTAAAAATTAATGAAAACACTTATTTGACTCCTAACTAACCCAAATATAATAAAAGAAAATTTATCATGTCAAAAAAAATAGTAGTATAAACACGTTTTTGTAACTTGATGTAAATTTAATCCATCGCCCAATTTTAAGCACCTTAATTGAAATCCAAACCAAAAATATTTGAATAACATAAAATTTTATATGTATTACCTTTGTACCCAATAAATAATATATCTTAGTTTATAAGTCATTGTCTAGGTATAAAAAATCCATCTATAATTAGTTTGTGGTAAAATTAAACCCTAATCAAAGGACATAAAAAGGTCCCAAATTTAATATATAATTTATTTTCACCCCTAAATAACCATTAAAATAAGTTTTGAAGCAATTTTAAGATGGTTTGACTCGATTTCTCAATTGTTTTTGTTTTCACGATAAAATTGAAACAAGCTTAAATAATGTCTATTCTTCCTTCTTCTTCTTCTTCTTCTTTTTTATCTACTTTTTATGCTATTGATATGTTTAAGGAAAATAACTAAATGAAATAACTCTTTTTTTGTACTTAGATGCCAAAAACAAAAAGAGAAGAAAAAGACTGAAAAACACAATTAAATTTATGGAATATAAAAAGATAATTTTTTTTAAAAAATATAACTTGATTTTAAAGTCTAGCTCCGATATACAAATTAATACGAACTTTATTATCACATGGTTAGCCAATTCACAACAAGATAAATAACAATTACTTAAAGGCTGAAACAACTCTGAAAAGAGAATAATACAATAAGAACTTATTTGAAGAATCAACTATGAAAAGAGAATAATACAATAAGAACTTATTTGAAGGAACCAAAACTATTAGAATAACAAGCCCTAATCTCCAAAAATGAAAGAGAAGCGTTACCATACCCAATACAATGGCATATTAGGTATTATCATGGTAAAGTACATATATTTAAGAATTAAGAAGAAGAAGAAAAAGGGATATTGTTGTATAGAAGAAGTAAATTAGTGCTATTGGTTTTTGGAGTTCGACTTGAATAAGGTTTTGTAGTTCCAATGACCACCTAGCGAGAACAAATATATATTCAATTGTTTTCATAATGGCAATTAACATTTTTATTTTGTGGTGTATGAGCCAATTAGAAACCTTTCAGTATGTATATGTTCAGAAATGCTTGAGAATCAATAATAATTCGAAGAGCGATCAAGGAAAGATTTTGTGGTCACCACTCAAAAAGAATCTCTAACTTTTAGCAGCATTTAATCATTCCAAACCTATTTGAAAGTTTGCAGGTATCATAAACAATTAAGTTAAAAAAAGCAGACTAAGGACATATGTGTTTCACTCGAACTTGTCGAGGAAAATTAGTTGTAAGCTTTGTATATAAACCATCAACATTTAATATATATATCTTTAAGTGGAGAGTAAATGTATAATCCCTATCATTTTGGAGTATCTTGGTGGTGAAGGATGGCACTTTGCTATGGACACAATGCCAGTCCGAGCTGTCAAAAATATTGATTAAATAGATGGCCTCCCTCAGTATCGTATTCAAACAATAAACCAACATTTCAGCACAATGAAAGGTCAAGGATCAAGTTTCAAGCGTTGCATAGGTGCAAGCTATGTTACTGGAATTCAAGATTTATATACACGTTGATGTGTGTTTCATATGCATGTGTATACAACTCAAGAGTAATTTTATGTTAATTTTAGAGAGTAATTAGTGATATCTGATTAATTATTTTTTAAGATTTATTATAAAAAAATAAAGATATAAAACGAGGAGAAAAAAATAATAAGTGAAGATATTATTATATATTGTTTTGTGGATGGTAGATTTTATATTAATTTTTGTTTTTGTATATATCTTTTTCTTTAAAATAAATCATGAAAAATAACTAATAAAATATTATTAATTGCTCCTCGATTACAATAAAAATTTTCCTTATTTCAGTAGTTTTTCAAAAAAGAAATTTCATATAATAAAATGTATAAGTGTTGATATCCATATTCAAATATCTAATATCAAACAAAGACTATTTTGAAACAAAATAGCAACATGGAGTATGAGTGATTTGACATTAAAATATACAAGCTTTCAACTTTACCATTTTATGGCTTAATAAGAACATTTTAAAAGACCCATTAATTGGATTTGTAGCTTGCGCGAAATAAATAAATAATATATAATAAAAAAGAGCTTGAGTTCGACTACTAACTTTTTTTTTTCTTTTTTTTTAGATTAACGTGGGTGTTCGGGTCAGTTTGCGCACACCACGACTAATCCCACGGGCCCTGAAGTTAACGACCATGTAAGCCTCCAGTGGCCATCATATGAACAACCAAGGACTCGAACCTGAGATTACAGAGGGAGCAAACCCCTTGATTTCAAGTCCTTACCACTTGACCACCATTTAGATGGTGAGTTCGACTACTAACTTAAAGCTATACGAGATAGTCTAATTGCTCCTCCATAAATAATGAAAATTTTCAGCATATACATAAATTCATCAATTTAAACAAAACTATCTTCAAATAGTTTGTTTGATTGTTGAAGTAAATCCCACTACTCTTCCTTTCATCTTGTGTACGAGAACGAGATATATATTTCTAGTCCTACAATAATTCAGATTCAGCAAAATCTAATTTTGATTACAAAAGTAAGTGCAAAATCAAAGTTTATTGAAAAGGAAAGAAAACAAAAGCACTACATAATTATAAACAGCAGTGGTAGTGAGTGCGACGTGCGAAGTTGGGAAAAAATCGGTCAGATAGTCAATCTTGTGAGGACCCTTCAGCATACAAACCGTCCAAAATGATAATCTTCTGAGGACCACAAACATAGTTTATGAGGTGAGGATTTCCACAGGCGCGTACCTGTTATGGCTATAAATACCACCAACAATGCAAGACTTATTCTCAATGTGGTGGCTTGAACCTTAATCAGCTTTACTACTGCTCGTAGCAGCTTCAATTGTTCCTCGAATCATTTCGTCCTATCATACAACAAAACCTTCACTTCCTTTCCCACTCTAGTTGATTATGGCGGAAACATGCAAATGTGCTCTATTTATTCTTGCACTTATTACTTGCTTTCAAATTCTGTTCACTGAAGGCAGGCCAATCAAGTTAACGAATAAGCAGGAACTTGTTTCCATTGGAAAGGACTCCATAGAAGATGTGGTCAAGCAGGGTTTGAATACCAAATCACACTACAACAATGCGAAGAACCAGAAAGTTTCTCTACCTGCACCCCCAGTTACTCACAATCCTAGTGTTCACCATTCCAAGGCGGGCAGAAAAGAAATACCCCATCCTGCAGTCCTGCGCTTTGGCAATTCTGCTGCTGTTTATAAGGATGATTCAACACCGGGCGTTAATCCTGGTATTGGGCATCCAAAGACTATAGGGACTAACTCCAACAGCGAACATTCTCTCACTGACTTCAAAGATGATTTCCAGCCAACAACACCAGGTCGCAGTCCTGGGGCTGGCCATGCTCTTGCCAATGATGATGATGATGACAATGAGGAAGTTTCTCCAAAGGCACCTGGCTCTGGTATCGAACGTTCTGGTACAGCATTCAAACCCACAACACCAGGCCACAGTCCTGGGATTGGCCATCTCTTTTCAGAGAATGACAGTGAAGGTACTGACCCAAAGGCGCCTGATACTAGCTCCAGTTCCGGAGATTCTGTCACAGCATCCAAACCAAAGACAACTGGTAACAGCCGTGGTATTGGCCATAAGTTATCAGCAGATAAGAGTGAAATTACTGCCTCAAAGGCTGTCAGCATTGAACATTCAGTCACAGGAGTCGCAGATGATTTCCGACCTACAGTACCGGGTCACAGCCCTGGGATTGGTCATGTTCTACGAAACACGAACGAAGAACGGAAAGCATAGAACATGGAATGTTGATGTCATAGACGAATGGGTGGGTGCTCATATTAAGGAACAAACAAAAAGAGCATGGACATATATAGATTGCATATGAAGCATTATTATTTGGTAACATGTAAATGCCCGAGTCAGCTAGGTGATTTCCATTAATCCTGTTCATACGATCAAGATTGTGATGTGCATTAGCATCTTTAAATTCCAAGCTTAGTCCTTTGATTCAATAGTCTCTGCATAATAGTATCTAGCTAGGGCTGAATGTATAGAGTACTATAGCCAATAACTGTGTGTGTGTGTGTGTAGCCATTGTATATCCAAAATGCTGGAAATATAAGTCTTTGTATTTGCTTAATTGTATCCTTTCATTCTCTCCATGCCTTTCTGTGATCTCTTTTTCCATTAAAATCAATATTTAGCAAAATTCATTTTGTAAAGAGTGCGAAAATAGAGGGCATGACGGCTTCATTATGCCATCATTACGAAATCTTTCCTACTTTATAATACGATAGTGCACTGGTTTTGGTGATATGATTAACAATGGAACGGAAAAGCAGCATCATTTGTTTTTTCATTCTTGGAGGGGGAAAATAAAATAAAAAACCCTATCTTGGACCTCCAAGGGAAAGCGGTTTGCTGAACTAAATTTGTAGCTTCTAAAAAAATAAATTTATTTTATCTATATGTCAATCTCTTCCTTTTATGGTGCTTTTGCTTTCTCTGTTGGATTATTTTCTTTTTGATAAAGTGCTGAATTTCATTCAACTGAAAGAATAGGATATATCGTCTAAGGCCATAGCTGTTACAGCTATTGGGATTTCTTCCATCAGTATGATTAATTGATAAGAAGATCTGCCCTCCATATTAGCTAAAACATGATAGACCTTATTACAGCATCTATGAATATGTTTATAAATGTAAAACTGGAAAGAGGAAGCTGCGAAGGATATATCCCTAACCAATACTGAGGAAAATCAACGGTATGTTTAACCAAGGAGTAGATTTACACTCATTGTTAGGTTGGAAGCGATAAGGGTTAAGGCATGCTAAGGCCTTAGGTAGGCTCCCAGGTTAAAATTTTATTAATATTTTTTGACTAATTATATATAAAAAAGTTTGTAATTCTCAATCTAGTTATTAAAATTTTTTGAAAATTTATATGGAACCTTGTAATATAATACTTTAGCTTAGGTTAAAATTTCAAAATTTTTAAAAAAATTAAAAAATTTGATGAAAAATCACAATTCAGCTAGTTTTACGTTATTGGATGTAGTTTTCAATCCGACCATCAGATTGAGTTGAAATTTTTATAAGGGATCTTAAAATATATTGAATAAAATTTGGTTAAAATCTTAGGATGAAGGAGCTTGGTAGTGTTAACAAAAAAAAACCGTCAAATAAAAACAAAACGACTTATTAAAGGTAAAATAGTTATTTGTTATTAAAAAAATAAAACAAATAAGCTTTTTCTTATTTTTATATTTTGTCAACTAGGTAACAGCAGAATAGGAAAACAAAGAAAAGAAAAGGTGAGAGAAAAAGAGTGAAAAGTAAGGGAAAAAAAATAAAAAAATCAAAAGAATGACCTTGTAAACTTATAAAATATAACTTATAAAACACTAATCTAAGAAAGAATCAAGTGAAGGAATGAGGAATTGAGAGTGAAAAAAAAATTAATTACTTTGTTTTTCAATTGACATGAGATGGTTATTTGATCCCGATTGAGGGGTGACATGATCAAAAGATTAATGTTTTCTCCCAAGTGTAGGAATATCGAGATAATAAATAACCCGGCAAGACCGGAGTTGAATTATAGGGAGATTAACTATATAAATTATAAATAACAACAACAACAACAATAGTAATAATTAAGTTAAAGAGTACTTTGAGATTCTAAGATTAATGTGAGGATTAAACAATGATAAAAACAAATGTCAAAGTTAGATGATCTACTAATGGTATTTCAAATAAGTATAATATAAACTCTTTTTATTACACAACTAGAGATCACTCAAAAAGAAGGTTCTTATTAGATTATAAATTGTTAACATGATTACATTAGTTATCTTATTCGAATAATGCTAATACTTGTAAATGTTGTCAGACATTCATGATTATAACTTATGTTAACAACAAATCAAGTTCCTTTCATAGCTTAGATATCAGTTATACCATACAGTATGGACTATGAAAGTGTCAAATATTTGTTGTGTCAAGTGTTACACAACACAAATCTAAATTAACCATTTAACAAGCAAAGTATTAAGAGTGAAGAAGATAACAAAAATAAAACATTTTAGTATCAAACATTAAAGTCTACGTTGAATTTATATTATACTTATTCTTACACTGTTAGTGTAACCTTTTCACCTTGATATAATAAACTTAACTAAACATAATAAAAGAGAAAAATATAAATAAACAAGAATTAGGTAAGTAACTCAAGTTGCAGATACTGATATATAGATAGTGCAATGTTTGATTTCCTTAAGTTTTTCTCCTAAACCTATATAACAAGCATGGACCAATAGCTTCCAAGTTAGTTTACTTTAGGGTATTTGGTGTTAAAACATCATTTCAGACTTAATTACTTAGATTAGAGAGGCTACGAAACCAAACTTATTTACATTTTATTATCATCAATGTTATCAATTTGTTATTTATTTTTTGTTTTTTTACAAATTATATATTATCTTTTCCCCTTAGTTGATACCTTTAACAAAAAAAATAAAAATAATGTCATAATTTAATATGCAACCCATAATTATATGTCAAAGTGTGTGTGTGAAAATAAAGGTTTAAGAATACTTATTAAATGAGTATATGAACATAATCAAGTGATAATAATGCAAGAGTTTGTAAACCTGAATATTTTAAGAAGTATTATAATAGACCTTGTAATGAATATTGCAAATAACTATTGGAAAATATTTACTAAGATCTGTCTCAGGAGTCAATAAAATTCTCCCTTACTCTGCCATCCTAGTAATAATAGTTTTGTCAAATGGTTTTATTAAATAGAAAATATGGTTAGTTAATTTTTTTTAATACTAACTACTACCCTCTCCCCTAAACCAAAATACGACATTATCCTCAATAAATTATGGTAGACAGATAAATTATATAAGATATCACTTGAAACAACAAACACTGACAAACTTAAAACACACTTAAACAAATATAAGAGATAACAAAATGCAAATGTTATGCTATTAGTAAAACCAAAAGGCATATGTTCTTACAAACTAAAGCTTAAATTATAGTTTTAATTATGGCTCATATTTTCTGTTGGTTTTATGTCCAAGAATGGTTTAAACACCATCTATGGGTCAAGGATAAGCTTCCTATCCAATTTTCTTAAAAACTAGTAAACACGGTCTTTTTTAGTCAGATTCCCAAGACCATGATGGGCATGTTCTTTATAAATATTGGGTTATAAATCATGAATTGCACAACACACATCTCCACCAGGATAGTCAATAAAAGTTTATCTAAAGATTCCTTATGTTTTAAAATAAATCCTGACTTTTGATAATTTTTACAAGCTTTGCAAAATACATGTGTGTCTTTGAACATGGTGGGCCAATAGAATCCTTATTGTAAGATTTTTACAGTCATCTTTTTTTACAAGAAATGACTACCACATGCCTTAACATGACAAAGTTTAATGGCATTACTTACCTCATTGTCTGAGATGCATCTTTGAAATATTTGATTAGAAAAATATTTGAATAAATAAGAGTCATCCCCATTCTTCACTTTGTTTAAAAACTTTCCTTTGTTTTTGGTACTCTAGTGAACTGGCAAAAATCCTAAAGTAAAAAAATTAATATTTTTAGCAAACCAAGACATTGAACTAAGAGAAAATAAAGATTTACTAGAAAAGTAATCATCAATTGGTGTGATATCAGATGTTGAATCTATTGTCAATCTTGATAAAAGATTTGTATCAACATTTTCAGTGCCTTTTCTATTATCGATTTCTTCTTGTTTGAAAGTTTCAAAGATTTCAGAATCGTGAATGACTTCTCTTTGTTTGGTTATGGCATGAGGAAATGAAATTACTGATGGGAAATCAATTTTTTCATTACAATGTTCAGGTTTAACCATTTTCTTAGCCTTAGAGATTGACTCATCATCTTTCTCACAAGGTTCAAAAATTGGTTTTTCAATAACCTTACCACTATGGAGAGTAATGATTGATAGGATTTGAGATGAAATATTAATGTAAGGATTAAACAATAATAATAACAAATGTCAAGGTTAAAGGTTCCACTAATGGTATGTCAAACAAGTATAATATAAACTCTTATTATTCAATTGGAAACCACACACAAAGGAGGTTCCAATCATATTATAAATTGTTAACATGATCACATTAGTTATCTTATTCGATTAATGCTAATACTTGTAAATCTCGTCAGACATTCATAATTATAACTTATGTTAACAACAAATCAAGTTCCTTTCATAGATTAGGTATCGGTTATACCATATAGTATGTGTTATGAGAGTGCCAAGTATTTGTTGTACCAAATGTTATAAAACATAAATCAAGATTAGTCATTTAACAAGCAAAGTATTAAAGAGTAAACAAGATAATAAATACAAAACATGTTAATATTAAACATTAAAGTCCATATTAAGTTTACACTATACTTATTCTTACACCATTAGTGTAACTTTTTCACCTTAACATAATAAACTTAACTAAACATAATGAAAGAAAGAAAAATAAATAAATAAAATAAGATAAAAGTTAACTAATAAATGAAAGGAAATGAAAGGCATAAACTTGATATTAATAAAAACAAAGCATAAACATTACAAAAAATACAAAGAGAGAAAGCAAGAGCATCATCTTGATCTGGAAACTAAGGTGCCTAAATACATGGCAAATGCCTCCTTTTATAGGTCAAAATTAGGAACTATTGATTTGATGACTAATTGATGAGTGGGTGACCAACTCTTGACTTGGTGACAATCCTTATCTTCTCTTGCCTACTCAAAACGTCAATGATAACGTCAAAACTGAAACCATTTAAAATCATAAAAGTTGTAAAAAAATTGTCTCAACTTTCTTGTGTAAAACATTGAGCTCATTTGAACTTCTAGAACTCTAGTTATGGGTCAAACACTGAACAGTACTCGGGCTAGAGGATAGATTCAG